ATGTGGCTAGCGCCTTGGCCGCTTGAGCCACAGGTGCTGAGCCATGAGACGCTTTTTAAACTAGAATACTCTTTTTGCATGTTAGTTGTGATAAAGTACTGAAGATCTCTAAGAAAATGTCTAATACTTTCATCTCCTATGGAGAAATGTTTTTGAACATTTGTGAACCTGACCATCCCCTAAGAAGAAAGGAGTTTTTCTGTTATTGTGGCAAAATTCTTCCCCTGCTATTAATGAACCAAATAAACCCAAATAAAATGATAAGTAAACATCAATTCTTTTTTCTAAAAGAAAGTGTGGCCAAGGGCTATTACAAGGCAGAGATGAGCAAAGGGATTTTTTGGAAATTCTCTTGGGTCAATGAGGTAGCACCTGAGAAAGACTGAGAGCTGTGAAACAGAATTAGATGTTTACCTCCAAGTTAAAAATCCATTTGTACGCTTTTCTGCACTACATCAGGACACCTCTATGGAATGTGCCTGAAATAAACTAAAAGTAAAATGTCCTATGGGCAAATTCCTTTGTTTAAACTACTGATTTGGAATTAGGTATCTTGTATAATGGATTGGGTGACCATATTTTAATTTATAGAAACATTTTATACAAGAGAAAGATTGAAGCTTTTAGGGCACTCGGAAAAGGCAGTATGGTGTATTGGAAAAACCCTAGGTCCCATAGTCAGACTGAGGAAGGTACAATTCCAGTCTTACAGCCTCTGACTTGAGTGGCATTTAAGTACCCTGTGGTGCCTCTATCATCAAATGAAGGTAAAAATAAAGGGTTATAGTGATGACTGAAGACATACAGCCTCTAACACAATGCCTGCCAGAAAGTAGTAGCCCACCAATAGTTACAGCTATTATAATTATCATAGCTACCACTTACTGATTTCCTACTATGCGAAAAGTTGTTCTAAGGGCTTTATTCAAATTATATATATAGTACTACATGAAAATCACAACTCCATGGCTTGAGTCTTATTATACTCAATAAAAACAGTGACATAAAGAAAGTTCATGTGATTGGCCTGTGGGGTCACATAGCTAGATAACTATTTAAGTCAGGTTACAAACACATGCTAATCTGATAGTAAAGCTCATTTTTCTTATGACTTAAATAATAAAATATGTTGTTTGACTATACTTTATTAATTCACCAGACTTTTATTAAACACGAACTTGAAGCAACATATGGTGGCACATAGCTGGGTAATCCCAGTGACTAAGGAGGCTGAGGTGGGAGGACTGCTTGAGCCTAAGAGTTCTAGGCCATCTTAGGCAAGCAGAAAGACCTTGTCTCTATTTTTAAAAAAAGAAAAAAAAGAAGAAAATTTGAGCAGTTATTTGGGATGGCTACAGCATAATATCTTAGATCAGGTAATTTATAAATAATGCAAATTATTTCACACAATTCTGGAGGCCAGGAAGTCTAAGACCAAGGTGCTAAAAGTTTCAGTGACCGGTGCCTTGTTGCTGCCTACGTGTCTGAAAAGGCAAATGCTGTGTCCTCACACAGAGGAAAGACCAAGACAACTTCCTTCAACTTTTTGTATAAGGGCATGAATATTATTCGTAAGGGTGGATTTCTCATACCTTAATTACTTCCCCCAAATCCCCACCTCTTGAATCTTCAGATCCAGATCCATAGTATTTAACTGCTTACGTTTCAACATGAATATTGAAGGAATGCATTCAGACCAAAACAAGTTAGAGTGCATGTTATATGATGCTAAGACTGCAAAATCAAGTAAGGAAAGACCTTTAACATTAAGTCCTTCTACCAAAAAGGAGAGTGGGAAGTATAGTACAAGGGAATCAAATAGGTAAAGAAATTCAGTAGAAATGAAAGGTTTCTAATAGGGATTATATGTCTTACTATGAGTTACTGTTTTAAAAACCCAAGAAATTAAAAAATATTTGTGATATATTAGGTTCTGTGCTTTCTGAAGTATCAATGTTTTCCACTTAAACCTAGCCATAAAGAAATACAATCCAGCAACTGTTTCCATGGAAACTGTAGAAGAAATTCACCAAGCACTACTCTCCAATCAATTTTTCATGGCCATGTGTACCCAATTTAAGGTGGACGTTTTGATAATGAGTTAGAGTTGAACTACTAATGGGCAATAGTTAACTGCCTGTCCTTAACCATTATTGGAAGAAAGTAAAACAATATCTTTCCTTATATCTGAAGGTACTTTCTCTTAAATAGAGTTCAAAAGCAATATTAGGTATCCAAGCTACTTGTCATCAAAACAAAAATATTCTCTGTACTGCATTCATTTGTACTTCTCACTTAATTTCAAATAAAATTGGAGTTAAAAATGTATGTTTTTCTTAAGTTCAATGTTTTTCAAAGTCTATATATTTAATATTACTGCGTTTTGGTGACTATAAACATTTTACTCTCAAATTCTTTTTATAACTTTTTTGCTGTATTGGAATATAAAGAGGCAAATATGGTATTCAGTTTCTCTATTATAATGACCAAAATCCATAGTTATGGATATCAGATATCTGCATCGTAATTTCTTATATGTTTACACCTTAGGTAATTGAAATATTACTTTACCCAGGCCATGAACTAGATGTAATTTCCAATTGGAAGTTAAAAGTTGTGCAATTGCTTTGAACTAAAACCTTTCAGTAAGTTAATGAAGCGTGTGCTTTGTGGATTCAGTAAGCAGATTATAATGGAATAATGAAATTGAGCTATTTACAGCCTTAAATTCTCTCTTAACTAGCCCTTTTAGCTCATGTGGATTAACATGCTGAGCTCTGAACTTGTAAATATAAATATTAATTCAAACATAAGATTGAAAAACATCATTCTAAAGTACAACGCCCCTGACCAAATTTTTGGTATAATAGGCTAGCACTCTGCGGAACACAACAACAAAACAGTGAGCCATGGAGAACCCTGGAATAGCTGAGGGCAGAGGAAGGGGATGAGGATTTCAGGGGCCAAATGACTTAACTTTGAGTGCTTAAAATTTGCTTTTGCAAGGAGGGAGGTGGAGTCTTGGTATGTGACACACCTTTTGGAAGCAAGGCACAATTGTAAGAGGGAATTTACCTAACAAATGCAATCAGTGTAACCTGGTTTCTTGTACCCTCAGTGATTCTCCAACAATTTAAAATAAAATTGCTTCTGCATATTGCTTTGAAGAAGTTTGGACATTAGTCTACATATTTCATATTGTGTACCTAATTCATCTCTTTCTTCCTCTTTTGTCTTTTAACCGTAGCAACTATTTAAGGTCCTTGCAAATATTGGTATTGGGTTCATTAAATACTGCTGAAGAGCCAATTTAAGTAACTAAAAATAGACATCTGTGAAGCTGCTAGGCTACAGGAATTAAGGATAAAATCAGTTACTGCCAAATGCAGAAGCTAAAACGCTTACAAGTTCACACTCCTTGGTAAGCAGGAGATCTATTTATAGAACCACAGTCATCTCTTAACCCTCTAATAGGCTACTCTGTAAGAAGGCCTCTTTTTAGATGACTTACACAAATGTGGTCATTCTCCCTGTTCATGAATTTATTTCTAAAACTTTTGAGGAGCCGGTAGCTAATTTTTATCCCAAAGTGCCTGAATATGCATAGCCATAGGGACAATATGTCACTCTGCATCAGATGTCAAGGCTACTGAATGTCAGGCTGGGAACTCACCTGTGAACAGCATGAGTTATCCACTACCTAAAAACATTTTTTTTACATTCTATTGCTTATAATTGGACTAGTACTCATTTCTAACTTTATTGTTCAAATATGTATCGGCCTAAACAACTGCAACAGACTATATACGCCAGATTGATATTTACTGAAATTCTTCCAGGATTTTTGTTGTGGCAGTGGTGATGGTGATAGCTGTTGCTATCCATCGAAATAAGTGAGATTGTTCATTTGTCTTTATTCTTTACATTTTCATGGAAGGAGGGTTAAGGTGTCTCTTAATAAGAATTTTCAAATCAGACAGTCATTAATCAAGGACATTCTAAACTCGAGTCTGCATAAGTAAAGTCAGCTTGGATTTTTTAAATATGTGTATAGATTTTGTGCTCATCCTTCCTATTTATTCATATTGTGAACAGAAAACATACTTAAATGCATGTTCACTAGAGCAGTTATAGAATGGAAAAATTAATATTAAACTCTGTCATTCACTGCAAATGCTCCTATGTCCTTCTTTACAAAGAGAAACCAAATGAGGTTGACATATATAGAATAATAATAAAAAGAAACAGTATGCTATTGAAGGATAAGCATGTGTTGGAGTAATTAAAGTAAAAGAATTGCTAGTTAAGTTTAGACTGTCTTATCTTTAGAATTTTAAATATTAATTTTTGAAACGTGAAGACTGGTGGTGGGAGAATTCCCACTGCTGCTTGCTCTCATATCCAGCAGAGGGAGCAAGAGCTAATGCACAGATTATACAAGCGGAGAAGAACATCACCAGGGATGCTGCTTATATGCAGAGAACGTTTAGGAAAAGGCTTGCTAATTTCAAACATCAAAACACAAGGAGAAAAAATACCCTCAAGTTTATATCATTAAGAATTGTTTTCAAGCAATAAAAGATTATGTATAAACAAAGAAATCCCAAAGTAGACAACCAATTAAAGTTAAAACTCTCTTGGCCTTATGCCATATATTCAAAGCTCTACCATAACATAAAGAATGAGTCAAAAGAATTTTTCACATCTCAGAACTATGAATGTGCTCTTGTTATTTTGATACAAATGATAGAACAGACTCTGTAAAAAATGTTTAATGGGTATAGTCCTTCAGTGGTTGAGTGCCTGGATTTTTCTCGGGATTAATGGCATGAGCAAGCAGTTGGTCCTGTCAGGTAAAATGGTACAGTAATAAAATCAGGGTCGTTTCTGAATTTCACTTCTTTGCTTCTACAGCATTCTTTGGGAGTATATACTGTGTTTGGCTGAGGTCTTTAAGTGTTCTTAGAAAAGTTCTGATTTTAAAATTATATGAGATGACCCTAAGCCTGATTATTCTTTGCATCTCAAAAAATGAGATGCATAATTTGGACTGTGCAGTATGCCAGTGTCTTGTGATGTGTATTACGATGTGTTTGTTGAGGATTTTCAGAAAACACTGCTGACGGTTTTTATATTTTGAAGACAATACAGCCAGTGCCTACAGAGTTGGGCTCACTGACTTGAAACAACCTTTGTGCTCCCACTTGCCTTCAAGATGTGCCTGACTTTTGAATATTTTAAATCTGAGTAGCATAAGCCTGGTTTTAAAAACCTTTCAAATACTGTGCCTCTCTCAAGTAATGTATCCTTCACATTTTTTGTGAGCTGGTAATTGATACTCTTGTTCCTTGACACTCCAACTTGTACCATGCTTGTAGCTCACCCTGGCCATAGCCCAAAATCATTTACACAACCTCAGTTTGATAGGTCAGCGCTCCACATGAGGAACATTTTCTTCTAGTTGGTTTGGTCGCCTCTAACTAATGCAGGCTGCTTCCATGTGTCTTCACCATTGTCTGAAAGATCTGTTTCCATGTGTTCAACTAGAACGCAATCACTCCTCGGTCTTTCCAGGCCTTCTTTCTAACAATACTGCCTGCCTGTCTGCAAGATGGGACAGGAAACGTGTGGACTCATTAATATAACTGTATGTTCCTTAGTTGGGCAAATTGCTTATCCTCTCTGTAGCTTAATGATTGCATTATAATATTGAGGTCATTGTATGGTCGGCACATATAATTAAAATAATTTCTTCTTGGGAGGCACCTGTGGCTCACAGGAGTCGGGCGCCGGCCCCAAATACCAGAGGTGGCAAGTTCCAAACCTGACCCTGGCCAAAAACTGCAAAAAAAAAAATAATAATAATAAGTAAATAAAAAATAATAATTTCTTCTTACTATCATTTTCTTATTATTATTATTGGGGTAGTGATAGTGGTGACTGTCTCTCCTTTGTCATTCTGACAGGTTTCCTAAACCGCTGACTCCTATTCTCACAGGTTCCATTATCTAGACTGTCTGAACACACTTAACTTGAGTTCCTGTATTATATGCTCTTAGCACCTGCTACATCCTAAGAGACAAGTATTTTTACACATGCATAAACTACCAAGCCACACTGTGGAATAGTTAGAAGATGGCAAAAATAAGACAGGCTTTGTTTTATGCTGTCCCAAAAAATTGGTGGCGACAGCGACACAGTATTTGAAGCTCTTTAAAATTCCCCATTAAAAGAGAAAAAAAAAGCAGGATAGAAAAACTAAAAAAAATAAACTTTAACAACAAATTACATAGTAAGCATTATCACAAATTCTAAATTGTCAGCTCATGACCCATAATTTTTCCAAGAGAAAATGGAGGGAAACAAGGCCAGCTGAAAAGGAGAGAGTATTTTACAGGTGAATATAAACACTGTTTTATACTTTTAAGGATGCCATTTGGCCATAATAACACAATTTTTATCATTTTTCAAGAAGTGCGCCTTATGTAAAAAGTTAAAAATCTGATATAAGCTATTTAAAGATAATTCAAATTGTTGTGTATTACAATTTGGTCAGACTGTGTTGCACCATACACAGACCTATTTATCTACTACCTTGTTTATTAATTGCTACTGTCCTTAATTCTGTCCAGCTGCAGGCCCTGAAAAATCTTTTGCTCATAAGCTCAGTTCCTACCAGTGCCGGGACCAATCTAAATCAGGTTGAGACTACATTTCAGCCCTGTGCACATCAGTAGAAGTTTTACTTCTAGAAGCCTGTGTCCTGTCCCTAGAACGTTCACCGTGTGCATCTTTTCTATTGGGTTGTTGCTCAGATTTCTTGATTAAAGCCTCTATAACTCTGCTCTAAATCCCACCCCACTGAAACAGTGCTTGACCACTGTGCCCAGCTCATTGTAATCCTTGTCACCCCTACTATTTCCAGCTGCTGATGAGGCCTTAATGAAAATCCTGCCACTTTTTTCAGCTCCCCATACCAATATTTGACCAGGAGGTTCTGAACCACAGAAAAAGTCAATTGTATAAACCTAAACCATCTTCTATAAATGTATATGTTTGTATTATGTTTGTATATTGTTTCTAGCCTTATCAATTTGCCATCGTGAAGAAACATACCCCCAAAGTGTAAATAACTAAATATACATAACAAATAATTTGGCCAAGTGACAGCAAAATATGCAAGTCCTAATATGGGTCAGAGATACTAAGTTTTTAGAAGCAGAGTAGACAAGTATAAATACATACTTGGGGTTGAGACTAAGGGAAAAATCTGAAATATCCCATTTATTAGAACAGTTCTTCTTTTTTGCATTCATTCGGACTTGATTTGGTCATTTTAGACTCTTTAAAATCCATGAGTGGTTTTTGTAATTATATTTGGCTCAAATCAGTATTAACCTTACGTTAATTATGGGACTAATGCAGTGTTTGAATGTAAACCAAGAACTTTATGTCTGTAGTTGCCAATTTCATCTTGCTTTTGAGTAATTTGTAATATGAAATCACCATTTAGCCTTGTGATAGCCTTTCTTGGGGTTCAGCACTTTCCATTAAGTTTGCTATTAGGAATGAAAGGAGATGCATTAATATATTTTAGTCACAGAAACAAACAATGTAATTAACCTATATTAATATGCTGAATGGAACATCCAGTAATGAAGCAATCTAAAACACATAAATTTGAATATTTAACCAATTTGTTATTGTTCCTTTGTATACAGTATTATTGAAGTTTAAGAATGAACCATGGTTGTTTTAGGGGAATTTGAGACCTGCCCTATTTGTTAAAGAATTTGGGAAGAATTCCTGATTCATGACATGTACTTGTTTCTTTCTTTTCTGTTACTACACTATAAACTACCAGTGTTTCGTGATTAGGTGCTAATGCCAATTCTAATGCTGTTCAAGTTCACTTCAGTAGGAATGGATATAGAAAAAGAAAAAAAATATGTAAAGCAACATGTTCTTCTTAAAGAAAATTTTTTTTACAAACATGTCATTTGGTTAATGATACTCAATTTAATAACGTCAGAAAAATTTGATGACTTGAATAATCTTACTTATGTTTTACCCTCCTTTTCTTGTATGTGTTTCCTTTAGATAAGAAATGTTGAAACCAATCAATGTTTAGACAACATGGGCCGCAAAGAAAATGAAAAAGTGGGTATATTCAACTGTCATGGTATGGGAGGAAATCAGGTAAACTCTTCTTTTTGTATATCAACCTTATATTTTAGAGGAAGAATTATTGTTGCTAAAACTACTAGCATAGATTATGGCTAATATGCTGATATCAATAGACTCTTAGTTTAGTATATAAATGTGCATTCAAATCAAGAACTGATTTGGTTATTTTATTGTCCCAAGTATGTTAAGAGAATACTAAAAAGTTAAATTAACAGGACAATGCTTTCAGTGACCCTACAATTAATGAGGATATCCAAATATTTTAGAGCCACCTCTTATTATCATGTTTAAGCAAATGAAGACCACATTTTGTACTACTAATTGGGTATATATAACAATTTCTCAACAACTGCAATGTCTTCCCAGTGGTAATTATTCTATATTCCTTAAACGAATTTTTATATATATTATAGTTTTGAGGAGCTTTTGATACTTTAATAAAATTTTTAAGTGCATGGGTCAAAGTTGATGGCTGATGATAAGTCTAGGACAGTTTTGTGTATGTGTGTGTGCGTGCAAACAACAGTCCAGTTAAAAGTCAGAGGCTTACCAGAATCAGCATAATCAGAGTGCTTGTGCTCTCTTTAAGCACCAGAAGTTTCTCTGCTGGGTGGGCCACATGGAGGCTGGCTGGCTGCGAGTCTTCAGGCTAGAGCAACCCTGCTGCCATGGCCACTTGGAGAGGTAGAACTTAGAGGACCTGTACCAACAAAACAGAGTTTGAGAGAGCCAATCCTCTTTGAACAAGTTTTCAAGAGATGTTGAGGAAAACCATGCAGTGAGTTCTTTATCTACTGGTAGAACTTCTGAGTGAGAATAAACTGAGGTTAAAAAATCTTGACTATGTCAAGATTCCAGGCAGAAATACATGTTTCTAATACTGTAAAAAAAGAAACAAATGAGCAAATGAGCTCTGTTGAGTTTTGACACCATTCTTCAAACAAGTCCTATGTTATTCAATGGAGAATGTTAAAAGGGAGTTTCTCTCTTAAAATAAAAGAAAAATGCCTAATTATTACAAACCTAATTAGTATTCCAAATTGTCAAAATTGTCACTTAAGAAAAAAATATTTAACACAAAATTTCTAAATTACAACACAGATAAGTGACCTTACGGGAAAAGAGGGCAGAAAAAACAACAACATAGGCAGAATAAAGACAAAGCATTCAGAAACGGCCAGCTTATGATTGTAGCGATTCATAACAAATGTGGCAGGTCTACTGCCAAAAACCAATGAAGGCTTGATACATTCAGCTAGAAATGGTAGAAAACCTTATAATCAGAGGACGAAATGCATAGGGATTTAATTGTTTTCAGTTAAGAAGTCCAAAGTGCAAAGGTAGTCATTGTTGACATTGGTTTAGGTCCTCCACTATTCCATGAAGAAACCAGAAATCATACTCTCTTTTCATCCTTCAGTTCTGAGAGTCCACTGTTACCATCAACTGGTCAGAAGAGGGCCTCTGAACTCCAGGTATCTTGTCCATGACCAAGGCAGAAAGGCTTAGGCATAGGGAGGACCTACAATAGCCCTGTGTTTCCTCTTATTTGGAAAGTAAAAAGCCTTTCTAGAGGCACAACACACCTCAACGTATGTGTCTTTGGCCAGAAATGTGTTACTTGGCTACCTATAGCACAAAAAATTACTGAATATTTAACCTCACATTGATACCCAGCTGCTTCTCATGGCTCATTTACCGTGGACATTCAGTAGACAATTAAAAATTCCTGCTATCAACTGTTTCAGCAGTGTATGGGGAAAAAACAATTAATTGTCTGCTTCAGGATGACGTACAGAATTCAAAATGAGAAACACTACTTAAGAAATAGCTCTGACTCTAACACAGATTAAAAAAGAGGGAAGAAAATACCTGAGATGAATTATGCATGTAGATTTATTAGAGTGTTATAATTAGTGTTAAAATGGGTAAATAGTCTAAATAATTATATGGCCATATTTATCTGTCTGACATCAAACACCTAAATCATAAATGTTAAAAATAAATTTATTCATCTTTAAGTTTACCAATACCTAGAAATAAACTCTTTCACTCTACTATACACTTCTTGTTAGTGCTACAATTCTAATCTCTATCCTCAGTCCCCAGTAGTGTTCTTGGGACATGGCAGGGACTTAGTCAGTACTAGACAAGCAAATACGTGAAAGTTTTGATCATTAGAACAACGTATTTATACCTTAGAACTATGTAGACACTCCTAATAATTAGCTGTTCTTGTCATAGTAATCAAAAGTAGTAAAGACAGCAATATAAGGGATTCATAAAGAAAGTGAACAAATAAATAATAAGCACTGAACTCATTCTTACATGTCTCCACATGGTCAACTTAATAGCAAGATATAAATTAAAACCAATACTTTTGTATCTATTTGAATATATGTTAATTATATATATATAATATATGTGTGTGTGTGTGTGTGTGCAAAAAATTTTGGAGCCCTTTTTGTTTAAACAGAAACAATGGAAACCAATATTTGCCAAAAGGGGAGTGGCTAAATAATTCATGGTGTACACAGTAGAATCCCATATAGCCCCCCAAATTACTGAAGAACATCTATATGTAGTGTGAGTGAACATTCAAAGAAGGAAGAAAAGTTGGTGCAGACTGCAACTTACTTTCAAAGAGCCCATTTGTGAAAAAATACATAAACATTGTTTCTACATGTAGTATCTGCAATATTCACAGAGAAAGTGTGACAAAAATATATATACACATTTTAAGAAAGGGGAAAAAACCGTATCCCATCTATAATAGTGATGTCACATTTGGCTTCTGCAGTTATAAGAGGTGCTCAACATGACTTGTATCCATCTTTTGTTATCCGTGCATATTGAGTAACCCTGGTAAAATTCATACAACTAACACTTAGCACACGGCACACACTAGTGAGACAATACATATTGGTTCATTGCCATTTATTATTCTCTTTAGTTTTTATTTCTATTTGTATGCACAATAATTTCTCTTTTTATTTCTAAAAGTTAAAAATAATATGTTCATTCAGTGGCCAATGACAAAGGCAAGATAAAAATACAAGACACCCTTTAAGGCTGGGCACGGTGGTTCACGCCTGTAATCCTAACACTCTGGGAAGCCGAGCAGGTAGGTTGCTTGAGCCTAGGAGTTCAAGACTAGCCTGAACAATAGTGAGACCCTGTCTCTACTAAAAATAGAAAAACTGAGGCAAGAAGGGTTTCTTGAGCTTGAGGTTACTGTGAGTTATAATGCCACAATGTTATACTCAGGGTGCCAGAGTGAGACTCTGTCTCAAAAAAGAAGGAAGGAAGGAAGGGAGGAAAGAAGGAAAGAAGGAAGGAGGGAAGGAAGGGAGGGAGGGAGGGAGGGAG